AATTTTGATATATTATATTATCCTACTATTGTTACACAATTTACTAACAAACTCTTTTTTAGGTTCATTTAGGTTCTTTTGATAACGATAGCAGAAAAAAGCTATCGAAACGTCAAGGTAATTTTTCAAATTAATTTCTCTACTAATTGAAATTTTCTCTTACAGCTTGAGCCTAAGTGTGTCGCAGGATACCCTCTAGGTGATAGTTCTTGATTACTTTTTGATAAATAATTCGTTCTTATTGCGAAATGGGAGCACTATTTATCAATCTGTAATAAAAGACGTGAGAAAATTCTGTCTTTTTTAAAGACTAAAATTTTTGAGGCGAAATACCCAAAAAGAAGTTTGTAAAAATTAATCCGCCTCAACAATATAGAACTTATCTACATTGAAAAATCTTTTGTAGCTGCAGCTTCCAAAGGTATGGTTCTGGTTACCAGCTTATGACACCCCTCCGATTGCTGTTATTATTTTACTGGGGCTCCAAGCCAACCGACGCCCTTATCTGGCCAAAAAATTTTGCGAAAGCCAAAAAAAGTAGGAAAGTGCATCTTTCCAGTATTGTGTGCTATTCTGTTTTATTCTGTCTGGACTGTCTAGTGTTGTATTAGGACTTCTGCACACCACACACCCAAAGCCCCAACATGAAGCTGAAGGAGAACATTTCCATTACGTAGATGAGCCGGAGTTCATCAGGATGCTTAAAGAAGGCAAATTTTCAACCTATCAAGAAATCTTGGGTTCATACTATGGAATCGGCAAGACAGAATTGCTTTAAGGAAGAACGGGCGATTTAAATTCGTTTCTTTTAGCCTACGCGGAATTTGAAAGGGCCAAAAATGGTATAATAATGTTCCACGCCGATTTGACTATGGCTTTGGCCGTTAAGCGAATATTTTTCAACACAACCCTGGTGTTAGCTTTGCCCAGCAGCAAGGAAGCTCATTTTGAAAAACTCAGTATTTTGTATTCGGTCCAAGTTAAGTAAGTTTCAAAAATGCAACAAAGTGGAACTTTAACCGTCCATATGCCCGTTGAATCGCGTTTTTTTTTATTTGAAGATCATTAGTGTTTTACTCATCTTATTGGCAAAATATCTAGTAATACAGTCGTTCTGATGCTTTGAAGGGAGGACGGAACGTTCAAAGTAGTGAATTCACCAGCCGAGTCCGAGTATCAATTGGAATTTCCAGTGAAGGGGAAAAGTGACTCTACTGTGAGCATAATGCAAGATGTGGTGGATGAAATAGTTGATCGGGTCTGGAAATTAACCAACAAGTCTGGAGCACTGGAGCAAGTCGCCTCCTCTAGTGAAAATGAACTTAAAGAGGTGCAAATTTCAACTGCATCTTCAAGGAGAACTTCGGTAGATGAATCAGGGAGGTCTGAAAAAAGTGAAATTTTAGAACTCTGGTGGTCATCAGATCCCACCACTACGTGAGTACTTAGTGATAGGCCTGGGTAACTCAGTGCATTTTTAGGAGTTGGCGCAGTGCTACGCAAATGGCTTGGTGCGCCAACCCAACGCACCGGCGCAGTAACTCAGTTCCATGGCTGGGAAAATGTTGACGAATTTTTTTACTTGTTTTTAAAATTCTGAAATTTTCGAGTTTTAGCCAAGTTACTCTTTCTTCTAAATCCAATCCTTCTAAATAATAAAGGGGATGCAAACCTGATTTATAGTGTGTAGATAGTGTGCGATCATACACACTATAATACAAGTTTTGCTCAAAAACGCTCTATTTTGTAAAGTTTCACTTAAAAATAGTGACAATCTGTTGGTCTTTTACGCGAAAAATTACCAGATAAATTTGCAGCATTGTAAAAAGTTTTCAAAAATTTTTTTCATTGAGCGTCGAATTCGGGACAAAAACGCAAATAAATTTATCCCGTTTTCCCCGAAAACCATTAAGGTTTTCTCCAAAACCGATCACAAAACTGAAAGTTTTTGATCGAAAACGCAAAGAACCATTCTTTTCTGACAATAATGGAGTCTTTTCAGCCAAAAATGCCAAAATTAATTTTGCTAGAAAATTCGCTTCATTCATTGGTTTGCAGGGAACTTTAGAAAACCCTTTTCAGCTTCGAATTTGGCACAAAAAACAAATAATTTTATTCAGTTTTTTACCGAAAGTAATTAAGATTATCTTGAAAAGAAACGACCAGAGAGCAAAAGTTTACAAAAAATATTTGAAAAATTCGCCACCCTCATCGCTTTGAAGATTTTTAAAGTTTCTTTAAACTTTCAAGTCAATCTAGTTTTAACAAAGTTTCTATTAAGCAATTCTTTCAACTCAAAAATTGAGTTATTTTTTAGTTAAAATACTGACAATTTTCAGGTATTTTCTGTGAAAAATTATAAGATAGATTTTATTGGAACACTTGCTTCCTTAACCGCTTTGCAAACATTTTTGTCTTATATTTGTAAACTACACGGTTTCTAAACAGAAAATCCACGTTTTTCCTAACGTTTTATTATAAAATACTTTACTCAGAAAAAATGTTGATGACTTTTTTTAATATGTGCAAACTCCAGTCTCGGGTCTCGTAAAGCTTTAATAAATGACTTATAACTCATTAACTGATGAGTTATAACTCGTTAACTCAGAGAGCGGCAACAACTCAATAGCGCAACGCAACACAGTGTTACCCCGGCCTACTTCTTGAGAAATTGCTGCTGGTTTCAAATTCCTTTCGGGCGAAAAGAGTGGAAATGTCGGCTATTTTTGTAAAATAAAATGAGCTTCAATCGAGTCCCAAAACAACATTCAGCAAATATCATTCTGTTTTTGCTTCAGAATGAGTATAATAATACATCCAGCACATCTAAGTGAAGAGAACCATCAAATGGCAGTTCTGGGGAATTCCGAAGATGATTTAGAACAGTTTAAGGTCTGATTTTTGCAGGGTTTTATTGAAGAACTGTGCATAAATTTCGTTATTTCAACTTAGGTGAATAAGGAAGGATCCACAAATGGTCAAGTGAAAAGATACGTTTCATTCACCGTGGCTCATGTTCATAAATTTCATGATTCTGCCAAATCGGAAAAACGAGCTGAAGAGAGCAAGACAGAGTGTGAACGGAAGGCGGAAGATAATGAAAATGTTTCTGATATAGCGGATTCAGTGCCCGAGTTAAAAGAGAGAACGTGCAATTATACCAAATCGGATATAAGAACAAGCCGCGCATATACAACTTGTCCTCTAGTCACTAAGAATTTCCTGACCGATGGGGAATGTTTTGCTAATCTTAGTAAGTCTTAAAGACTGGGATGATTGTTTTGTAAACCGTGTATTTCCAGTTATTCGCGATGAAGGAATAAGGGCTCTTTTCGAAGAAGAATTGCGACGTCGCGACGAACTTTTGGAACTTCATCTGGATATGCCTGGATTGTTCAGGGAACTGGTAATTATTGTTTTATTTAGCGCAAAATATTAGAAACTCCCACTGTGCATTCGACTTCAGCTATTTACTGATGAGGAAGAGAAAGCCCTGGGCAAACTGAAAACTTTATTGATGGACATTAACCGATACAACGATTCCACTCCGAAAACAATTTTAGATTTTGAGAACGACCCGATTTTTTCAGACATGATTCATGCCAAAGTTGAAAATTGCTTTGTGGAGCTGAGAAAGTATTGGTTTTTTTGTAGCTGAATACTGATAATCCCTCAATACTCAATGCTTTTTAGGGCAGTTTCGATTTCAGAAAAACAAGCGGCAGAATACACGGTGAAGAAATACCCACATCGATGCGAGCTAAGCGTTTGCTCTAACCCGGCTTGCCCACAATGGCGTTGAAAAAAGTACATACATTTCATCGTTTATTGAATAATGAATACATATTCAAAACAAATATCAGTCATACAAAAAGATACATGTAATTCTAACTACGTCAATTAGAAAAACGATTTTTAATGTACTTATATTTAGTCCAAAAAGTACAAATATCTACCTTACAACAATGAGATACATTTTTCTAGAAATACAGTTACGATAGTCGTTGGCCTACAAAAGCCACCACCAGATTGAGACCATTTACCTTTGCTTTGTGTTAGCGGACTGGTTGGAAAACAATCAAATTTCATTAGCTAGAAGGCATTTAAACCGGCGAAGTTCGATTCTTCAATTTCGCTAGGCAGTAACATAGTTTTAAAAGGAATGTCGAATATTTGATCCTGTATCAAAATGTGACGAAGCTCATGGTCAATTAAAACTACGTTCTAATTAAGACTAGAATTATTTTAACGTAAATTTACGAGCTGGCATACGATACCGAAAAAATGGTTTTAATGTAAAACATGATTGAAATATTCCTTGAACGCAAGAAATTTAAAACGTAACGTTGGGGGCGGTGATTCCTATGTGAAGAACATTTGAAATATCGGCAATGAGTTGTATGTAACTCCCTTCGACGCGTTAGAGTCAAAAAAGTGGTTGATGATTGCATCGGCTATGAAATTAACTAAATAAATAACTCCCCGTATACTATGCGAGTGCGTTATAGCCTAGCTTAATTGTAGATTATAGAGTAAAATGGCGTCATGAGGTGGCATTAAGACGCTCCAATCGACTACTCAGTTCTTGCGAGATTGGAGAACCGGATGGTTGTTCTCTTTGTTGGGATTTGGCGCACTCGCCTGACCATCTAGCTTTCGAACTAGCATGAGACTGCAAAAGAAAATCCTTGTTAGTTCTCAATATTCCTCTAGAAGCAGATGCAGTCAGATGCAGCACTCACCATGCTTAAATCTCTTTTCCACACGGCGCCGCAGGCTCCTTCGCACTTAGGGCAGGGTCTTTCCATGGCGTAGCCTCCGCATTCGGAGCAATCCAAAGAAACGTGGCTTTCCGCCCAAGACACGCCGCAGGAGAAACAGCAGTTGAGCTGATTCCGCAGCTCTTCGATGGTGAGAACAGCCTCATGAGCATGATTGTAGCCCCAGGAGGCGATATCGTCCATACTGTGGCTGAAAGTGGACAACGAGCTGCAATCAAAGGAACAATTTCAGTTAATCAAATGGCAACAGGTACCACTTATCAGGATGTTGAATGGGCATGTTAAGTGTTGCTAAGTTGCTTAATTTGCTCGTACTAACGGACGACGTACATGAACCAGCAGATGACGTTGGACGGATTAGTCCTGCACGCTGTGAACGCATGGAACCAACGATTTTTATCTTAATACCCAAATCAATTGGCAAAAAGCGACGCTCAACACTAATCCCGGAAAGGAAACAGCGTTCAAATGGCGGCGACTTTAATTTGTGATTAATAAGAGCCACCAACAATAAGTTGTTACATCCGCTTGTCGGTGTTAATTTTGCGCTTTATAGAAAGCATGATCATTCGTCATTATCGTTGGAAGGAATATTTGCGTCAATCTAGCGCCTCATGTGAATAGAACCGGTTGCCCGCTATGACAACACAGTAGCCAAATAATCCCGAGTCTTTTCCATAAGAAATCCCGGCAAACATTTGCTGTGTTCTCAGCATAAGAGAACGAGATTATGCGATTTGCCTTTTGTGTGTACAGTAATTAATTAAATTAATGGAAAAAGCCAGACAATGTATAACAGTGTTAACCTGATGGTTTTTTTTTAAATTAATCTACACTGGAAATCAATCATCAAAGCAAGCCTGATTTTAGCATTTCGGCGATATTACAAAAACACGTCTTTCTGCAGACCTTCTACCATCCACAGCAGCGAAGCCAGACATTTTCCCTTAATAACAGTGAAGTCCGATCGTTTTCCTTTGAGCCAATAGAGTCGCAAATCCCGTCAATGAACCAATAAAAAAGGTAGCTCAGCTTTGATCACATTAAATTTCAATAAACATCGGCGTAATTATATAATTACGGAGCAATTCGCAGTCAACTGTGGACACTAAATTGTCGGTTGCAAGTCGGACTTTTCTCCGGACTAGCAATTTCGATGCAAATAAAATTGTGAAAAAATGCAAGTCAGGTAATCGGCAATATTTTTGCAGTAATCTCACCAGGGTCGCCTAAAAATAGCGATTTATTGCTTCAATTCTTCAATAATTAAATGGTACCTTCTGGGGACATCAGCAAGACACACGAAATCAAATACATTATTTACGTTGTGTTAATCGCCGGCGCCCCGACCCATTGTTTTAAACTGTATTTTATTGCAATTCGAATATTTACGAATGCTTACAAGCGTAGAACCTTGAATATCAAACAATATGATATTTAACGGTAGGTGAAAACGAATTTTTCAAATCCGGGTCCTGGAAGAGTAAAAATAAACCGGTTGCCTGCCAGGATTTAGAGTTTGCACGTGAATACTAGGCACGTGTGGAATGTCTGGAAGGCTTTGGAAATAAACTGTCGGGAAATTGATCTGAGTAGATAAATAAATCAAGTCGCAACAGCCCCAAACGCACACGCTTTTCTCATTTTTTAACTCGCTCATTTGCACAAAATGGTACTAAAATATACTTAAGGTCAAATTTTGTGTCAATGAATGTCTGATCATGGCTTGAACAGTTGAACACTGTGTTGATGACCTCTGAAAATTGCGCATTTCACGTTGTACTAGTAGAAACTGTTTCTATTTAAATAGCCCACTTCGGTATTAAAATCGCTTTGTTTAACTATGATTCAGCAGCATAAAACCCCAGTTAAACAAAATACAATTCAATCCTCTGGGGTAAATGCGATACGTAATGTATATGGCAAAATACAGCACTACAGAAAAATATTGAAAAAACATCTGTCTTGTACAATAAAAGCTACAAATCGCACACTATTGGGCACTTACAGAATAATTTTTGATATTTCAACAAAAATTACTTGAACTTTTTTAAATATATTTTTATATATTTTAATATATTGAATATATATACAATAATTTTTATAATAAATATTAATTTAAGACCAAAAATAATTTGAAATCTTTTGTATAGTTGGTTTCTCATCGAGTGTAGCGGTGAAGTGACAAGTGTTACCAAGATTTCCAGTAATTTTTGTTGAAACATCAGAAAAACGTCTCTGGAATTTTGAAGTTATTTGTTAACTCTGTTATATTTGTTGAGATTTGATTCCTTTCAAATTCCCGGGATTTTTCTGATTTTGCAAAAAAAATATATGGAAAATGTTTCAGCTTCACTCACATTTCGTGGTATTTAAGCACACAATAAAATGTGTATTTAACATTAAAACATTTCATTATCTAGAGTATCTTAACTCGTTTAAATTTTAAAACCTCAAAAATCACTAATAAAGGCATCCAAATTCAATAAATTCTCGGTTATAATCGAAATAATTCTTCCACCCAAATCAAATGGCATTTGAAAGGCACAGAAATGGAACAGAACTTTTAATCGTCCATCACTTTCCCCTGATTCAAGACCGTGGCACTTTGAAAATTTAGCAGAAATCCGCTTTTACTGGCGTTTTACCACATTTCATTTTACCCAAATTTAACCATAGATAAAACATCGATTCCTAATCTAGCGAAAAACATACTCAACTAGATGATTATAACAGTTCAACTGTGTAACTCACCTACGGCTCGAATGGATGTCAGCTGGATGATGCACACTGGCTAAAGACATCTTTGATGGTACTAGAACAATTAAAACGAATATAAAGAAACGTTGCACAGTGACCAGGCATATAAAATATCATTGAATTAAATCGTTGTAAACAATAAACTTGTTTATATCATCTTTATACATGCAGTTGATAAAGTTCATCTACGTTCCAGACGGTTCATGAACGTTTAAAAAATTCTGAACTAAAGTTTTTTTCGCGCGGTTCGGCCTCAGCAAGGCCTTTGACCCAACAATGAATGGGATTGAGCAGTTTAAGTGAGAATTAAAATAATATAAATAATAAAATGTAAAAGAGGACTGATCGAATAAAGTAAACAATTTAGACCTTGATTCTGTTTCATAATACTCTCCACCTTGGTCTCCTTTCTGATTTCCTTGTGCAGCAACACTCTGTTCGCTTGGAAATCTAATGCGTCTTACTCCACGCTTGAACTCACCCAATTATTATTTTTTTCAATCAAATTGTCCCAAGCATGTAGAAAATGGAAAATAAATAACTGGGTACTTTTAACAACAATGCATTTTTTTCGCCAATTAGACGTGGATCTAATGACGAGCAAAAAATGATTGGAAGATTGATGGTGCATGAATTTTCCAGTCATTGAATGTGCGACTGGCCACGAGTCGTTTGTATGATAAAAACAGTATAAACCATGTATGTTTGTGTAATTAGACAACGTGCTCTAATTATGCATTCAAACTAGGCACACTTATAGTTTTCGCTAAGTCATGCCGGATAGTAGGTACTTTTCCCATTAGCTCGCCCAGTAGATAAGAAAGTCAATTTCGCGGGCAAATGCGAAAAAACTTACAAAGCCCACAGTGTTTTAGCTGCAAACGCTAAGGATGGTTTAACAACATCATCTGAAGTTGCTTAAAGACGTTTTTGCGATGACCTAAAGAAACTTTTTTGCAGCCAATTATTGAAAATGTTGAGTTTTTCACGTTTTGAGGTCTGCGTGGATTGGAATTACCTCCGGACGTTTCGCCAGCACAAATAGCTTGAATCTTCAAAGTGGGTTGCTGAGACGTCCGGAAGAAGTACTAATTTACGGTGGCGTAAAACCCCGCAAAAATCACCAGCTCCTTACTGATACAGCTGACAACTTTCCAAATTAGTGCGCTTTTTCATTAGAGAAGCGTATCAAAAGAAATTTCGCTCACCAGGACTCACTTTTCCAAGTTGGCGAAGACAAAAATCCTTAACTGTGCACTTCCAGGAGCGAAGCCTCAAACTCTAGCCAAAGTCACTGAGCTCGAAAGTACAATTTTGCGCGAAACTGCAAGTAGAAACGCACGCTAGTTGCTTAGCTGAGTCGCTATTGGTCTACTTTCCAATTGGAAAGATCGCAAAACATTGAAACCTCCACTGCTATGTACTTGTATATATGCAAGAGCGTCGAAGTTGGGAGGCGGGAAGGGAGGTGCTTGTGACGTTCCACATTTTATTACATGAAAACTGTTCACAAGCGCGCTCCAGTACCGGATTTAACTAAATGTAATTCAGCTGAAGCCAGTACCAGTTTCATAGATTAATCTGGTTTAGCTTGACCAGGAAAAGTTGATTTATTTGAACTACACAGTCAAAGGGCAGGATTATTGCTTGTTTTTGAGCCGCCTCTAGCTCTTGTTTGTCTTAAGAAAACATGTTTTTATTCGAATGAATCAAAAAGTGCCATTTTGCGAACAGAAGCGATGATCAAAAAGAAGCACTTTTCTTTAGCGTTCATTTGTTTTACTTTTACGCACGGACTTTGCCGCAAATAACCGAAATGCTTTTTTAAGGAATTACGTAGGTTTATCAACAACTATTGATCCTATTTTCACGTTTACTTACAATTTGCAAATTATATCTTTGTTACAAGTTCAGTCTCATAATCGTTGTAATGGCCTACTTATCTACTTTCGCGATGTTGTCACACGTAAAACACGATCTTTTTAAGAAGCGCAAATGTCATGCAGAATATGCAACATGCATACACCATCCCAAGACCACAGGTGTTTCAAGTTGAAAAAGTACTTAAACTTAATTACAAACTTCAAAACATGACATTTCAAAAAATGACATTGCCACAAAATTTTAAATATGAAATCGATGCATTTTATTATTCGTGTAATCTTAGATTCGAATAAAAAATAGTGTTCGATACGAGGGCGAAAATTTGTTTTTCGCCCTTGTATCGAAAACTACTATTTTAACACTTTGAGAATTTATATTACAGTTATTTCAACCGATATTGGTTGATTGCTGAACAATGGCTTCCTGGCAAAAGCGACAAAATTCCCAGTCAAAATAAGGAATAATTGGTATCGCTTTGCCATTCAAAATACAGAAATTTGGTCTGTATGTTGGTCTCTGTAAAGTTGAGACATCTTGTATGCATGAAAACTACCTTGTAAAAACCAGACCTCATGGGTAAAATGAAAATCTCCTACACTAGAAATGGCCCAACCTTGTGCAAAATCCAACACATTGACTTCTTTTGCTTGTAATGATTAATCATTTGTGCGAATTGGAATAGTAAAAATTATCGAAAAATGCATATTTAGAAAATTTTAGTTGCTGCTAATCAAACTAGACACTGCTGGAGATTTTTTAAAGTAACCACCAATTCATCGAAAATAAGTAAGAGCGTAATTAATGAAAACACACGTTTTTCTCCGTACATAATTATTTTGTTTTGAAACATGAACGGTAAGCAACCAGTAACAAAATTACACAATTGCTCCCTGTTAATCTGGAACAACGTGGACAGACAACAAACGTTAAATTTAATGTAAAAGCAAAGTACGGAGAATAAGGTGTTGAGACCATTATTTGGGCAAACAATAACATTGACTGCATACATTGGCGCATCTTCTATTTTAAAGCAAAGCACTCTTGAAACTGGCATTTTTATCGGGCTTTTAAGCCGCCATCCGTTCGCTTCGGGTGCAAGCATATCTCTGAAGATGCAAACAACTCGCGCTTGCGAAACGTTAGGATGGCGGTCAAAAACTCACCAACGGACAATTGGCGTTAAAAAACATTTCATGTGATAAATCCAGTTTTCATGTTTCAAACGTTTCCTTTGGCAGTAACTAGAAAAACCAGTTAGTTAGTTAGAAAAGCAAATGCGAATTTAAAAACTTGCTCTCAGTCCGCTTGATAACCGTGCACAATCCCACAATTGTTGCTAACAAGCAACAAAAAACCTTATTTGAATCAACGCGTTTTGACTGTTTGCTATCTAATGACTACTTCTTTAAAAAGCCGAGGAGAAAGCAAATTAAAACCCCTGCCAGTATTAGTGTTAAATTACGCGAAGCTCGCAGTTTTGATCACTCTTATTGCATCTACATCCACTGAAAGGGGTTGGAAAACCCCTTAAATTGTTTCCAAGCACGTCGATTCTTTTGCAAATAGTTGCACAACAGTTCTTCCATTAGAATCTATCTAAAAATTTCCTGTTTTACTACGTTGCTTGCCGACTTTACTAGCAGCATTAAAGTTACTAATCAAACGGTTTCTAAAGTCAATTGAAGTCAATTTGGCCAAAAGTGTGGAATTTTGCAGATTATAGTTATGTATCATTCATGATTCGCCAATACAGTCATGGTGGGAGTCATTCGGTGCACGAGTGATCATTTTTATGGTTCTCCCATTAATAACAAAGTCATTTACTGTTTCTCGTAAGTGCTCACATTCAAACACACGCTTCCACTGTTTAGGGTCAGGCATAGATAAGACGAAAAAAAACCTCCTTTTCAAACTTGAATGGTTCAATTATTGATTTGCGATTAGAGTGCTTTCTACGGGTCTCACATAACGACCGAAAAAGGATTAGAAAGCTGAAACTATTCTTAAGATTTCTTTTATTCCTTTAAGCCAAATCAATCTTCCAACGGTTTTAGACAACACCGTTCTAGTCACTGTGCACTATGATAGTTGAATCGCCTCTGAAGATGTAAGCCACTCGTGTGTGTGAAACGTCTGGAAGTTTAAATACAATAAATGTCTGACTTTCGAACCAAACACCTCAGTTCTTGAATACTTATCACATCCTGGCAATGTATGGCAATTACAATTTTCCTGCTAATATTTATCAACAATTATAATTAGTTCAGACAATTTATCAGTTTTACACGCATAATCCTTCATCGAAACATTTATTGCGTATTTATAAGTGCTTTGCCTATCTTGGTGAAAAAACGCCACACTTGAAACAACGTCCTTTTAACGTCCAAAACTTCAAAGCTGATAATATTATTTCAAAATAGAGAAAAAGTGCAGCCAAAAGACCATGAAACATATTGATATTTCAATGACTGATTAGTGCTGTCGCAATAAAAACACATGGCGCAGTTTTCGGATGATCAATTTTACTTGTAATGGAATATTAAGGCGGCGCCATCCGTGAAATTTAATACCGAATTAGTTTGATTTGAAAAAGAAAAATAATTAATTAGAAACAGCTAGCAATTAGTCGAAATGTCCATCATTGACACGGATACACCAATCAGCAATTTACCGTTAGGGAATGAAAAATAATCAGTGGAAATGTTATGGGGCGTTAACAATCAAACGCGCATTTGCTTGATTTGCATTAATTAATTCTCAATATTTGCCCTGATACTTTGCAACAATAATGAACATTCGGTTTTCCCATTTCCGCGGTTTCGAGTTTTTGCATGCGAAAAACGCCTGATTAGCTACACCACACCAAGCGATAATCCCTGAAATTCCGACAATAGCAATGAAAAATTCGAAGAATCCAGCTTACATCACCGTCCATAAAAATCAAATTTAATCCCTGCGTGCTGAAAACTCGGGAAATTTCGAAATTAACACGAGAGATTTACGTGTAATATTTTCAAATGACAGTAGGTATTTTAACTGCAATTGTAATAACAAAATCGGGGTTCTTCGGAAAGTGTTTTGGGAAAAACTACATTTATGGCCTATAAAAATCCAAAATAACATACGGAAAGAATGTGCGGGCACGCTTAAGCAACTACTAGTGACACACTC